TCAAATCGTGATAGAGACATATTCCATCGAGCTTGACGACGATTCAAAATTCGAGCTGTCATGAAGTACTCCAAATTCTTGTGGTCCGTATAAACAGTCACTGGATGTGCAGCTCCTTCGAGGAAGTGACGCCACTCTTGGAAGGCATCCACTATAGCAAGCAGCTCTTTGTCGTGGATCTCGTAGTTGATCTCAGCAGCAGAGAACTTCTGTGAATAGAACGCAACTGGGTGAAGCTTCTTGTCTATGCCCATCTGTGAAAGCACAGCTCCCAAAGCAAAATCTGAAGCATCGGTCTCTAAATAGAAAGCCTTTGCAAAGTCAAGGTGTACCAAGATTGGAGCCGTAGTGAATGTCGTCTTGAGATCTTGAAATGCTTTTGTTGCTTGTGATCCCCATTCGAGCTTGTCTTTGCTTGTTAGACGCGTGAGTGGTGCAGCAACTTGAGAATAATTCTTGATGAAGATCCGATAGAAATTAGCAAATCCAAGAAAACACTGAACATCTCTAACCGTCTTCGGAACTTCCCAAGATATAATTGCTTCTACCTTTTTTGGATCCATCTTCAAGCCCTCTGTAGTCGCAATGAAGCCCAAAAATTCCATCTCATTCTGGTGAAATTGACACTTCTCCAACTTGGGGTAGAGTCCTCGTTCGTATAGTTTTTCAAGAACCAAACAAACGTGCTTCTCATGTTCTTCTTCATTCTTCGAAAATATCAAAATATCATCCAAATAGATGACAACAAAGTCATCGAGGTACTCCCGAAAGATGTCGTTCATCATATGCTGAAAGACCGCTAGAGCATTGGTAAGACCAAAAGGCATGACATTGTACTCAAAATGGCCATACCTTGTACGAAAGGCTGTCTTCCATTCATCTCCTTCTTTGATTCGCACAAGGTTGTAGGCTCCTCTTAAATCAATCTTTGTAAAAATCCTTGCACGTCCAAGTTGATCTAAGAGGCCGGAGATCAAAGGTAAGGGATAGCGATTTTTCTTGGTCACCTTGTTGAGTCCTCGGTAGTCCACGCACATCCGCAGTGAGCCATCCTTTTTCTTCACGAATAGGATTGGTGCTCCAGCTGGCGACTTTGAATGTCGAATAAAATTCTTGGCTAGATTCTCATCGATGTACTTCCGCAATTCTGCCAACTCCGTCTGCGATAGGTTGTATATTGGACCAAAAGGTGGTTGCGCTCCTTCCTCTAAGTCTATGGCGCAATCATATGGTCGATGTTCCGGCAGTATATCGGCGTTCTTCTTCTGAAACACGTCTTCAAAATCCCTATATTGCTCTGGTATATTCGATGTTGAGATATTCTCGCCGCTAGTTGGAGCTGCATAAATGACAAATGGTGCGCCTTCCTTGGACGATCTTAGGAACGCTCTCGCTCCAATAAACATGGATTTCTTCATGTAGGTTCTACCAACAGGTTTATTATTATTTTTTTCAGGAAATGTTATCCTTCGTAGCCTCCAATTAATGGACGGATTATGATCTTCTAACCAAGAAAGACCAAGGATAACAGGGCTTGATGGGGTTCTAATAATATTAAAAATAACGTGACTACTATGGTCCTTAAACACCACTTCTATAGGTTCTGATTCGTGGGTAACGTTGCCTGACAATAAGGGTCGTCCATCTATCACCTCTACGTGAACAGGTTTGGACTTCTGTACTAAACGGATCTTGTGGCGTTTAGCAAACTCTTCATCTAAAAAACAAGTAGATGCCCCCGAATCCAATAAAGCTAAAGTTTTTTGTTTTTCAGGGCCTAAAAACAAAGGAATTGTAAAACAACGGGCAGGTTGGACAGAGAAGGAGGAACCTGATTGTTGTCGTGATATTAGATTGTCCAGCCGCACGGTTCCTACTGTGGCTGGGCGTCGTCGTTTTCCGGAATCATCGCACTTCTAGTCTTGACAGGGTGCCAATTTTGCTTCTTGGGGCAATTTCCAACCTTGTGACCTTCTTCTCCATAGTACAAACATAACCCTTCGTCCATACGCCGTTTCTTCTCTGTTGGAGTAAGAGATCGGACACGCGCCGTGTCGATTTGCATGTCTGTTGCCTCCGAATGTGAGTTTAAGCTATTTGCAGACATAGTCACGTCGTAACGAGTCATTTGGTGTCTTGGACGTTGGTCTTGGCGACGCTGGAATAGGCGGTTGTCACACTTTACAGCTTGGCTAATAGCTTCGTTGAGCGTTTGAGGATCAGGAAGAGATAACAGCAAGTCCTTCACATCATCCTTCAAGCCTTAATAAAACTGACTCACCAACGCCTCTTCACCCCAATTAATGTCACTTGCCAATTGTCTGAAATCCGAGGCATAGACTGATGCAGAGCGTGTTCCTTGTCGTAGCGATCAGATCTTTGTTGTAGCCCATCGAACTTTATCATGCTCGCCAAATGCTTCTGCAAACGCCTCCAAGAACGTTTGAAAGTTGCTCAGGATTGGCGATCGCTTCTCGAACAAGGGAGTAAACCAAGACAGAGCTTGTGCTGTAAGCAAGGTTCCAACAAGCCCAACACGCGCTTCCTCCGTCGGATAACGTTCGGGCTGTAAAATTGTTATCAACCTGATTTGGTTGACAAAACCTCGAAACTTGGAACGAGTTCCATCAAACTTATCCGGAAGACTAACTCGAGGCTCCTTTCGTTGTAGGACTACTCGATCTTGTTGAAATGGAGGTAGAACTACTTCTTCTGGCGCAGAAGTTTGAGGCTGATATGCTTTAGATGGCGCTATCCCAGATGCTCCATTGTTATGGAGTCCTACCATGACTCCTTCGATCTCTGTTGTCCTATGTGACAACGAGGCAAGAGCATTTATGATGGCGTCTAGTTTGGATTCCAAACTTTCAACCATTTTAACGTCTTAACCTTCGGCTAACCTTCAGAAAGAAGAAAAAAGAGTTTTGACAAGAGGACAATATTGGTTCAGAGGAGAGTCCTCCACAACCTCTAAAACGCCTTAAGACTCCAAGATGAGGGGTAATCCACACTCTCCAAGAAGAATAAGGCTCCAATATTGAGAAAGAAGAGATATCAGTTTAGAGGAGGGTAATCCGCAACCTCTAAAACACTAGCACACCTTCAAGAAGAGGGGTAATCCACTCTCTAACAAGAAGGAACTAGCTCTGATACCAGTGAAAATGTAGTCTCGACAAACTGTCACGGACACAAAATACAGACTTGAAATCTAACAAGAAGTTCAAGAAGAAGTGGCAGAACTAGATTAAACAGATGAGTACAAGAACAACACCAGAAAGGTGAGCTAGAACTCCAAGAGATGTGTTGTCGAGACTGAAGAACCCTTCAGCCTCGACTTCTATATATACTACTGAATAGGAAGCTTCTCGAGCTACTTCCGCTAACTAGGACGCTTCTCCAACAACTTCTACTAATTAGAAAACTTCTCGAGCAACTTCCTAGAATCTATCAAAATATTCTAGAACCTTCTAAGAATATTCTAGAACCTTCTAACAGAATCTTTAGGGAATATTATAAGAATCTTCTAGAATCTTCTAAAGGAATCTTTAGAGAATCTTTAGAGAATATTCTAGAAGAATATTCGAAGAATCTTCCAATGTATGTCCATGACACTTAGCTCAAGAGTTTCTATTCTTATTGTATTTGATAATAGTCATTCCAATTTCTATCTTATATCTATCTTTGATTGGTATATTTTTCCTTTTTTCATATCATGAGGACATATTATGTTTTTAAAGTTTTGTTATAATTCATATCTTTGACAAATGGTCAATTCTTGGATACCAATATAACTATTTTTGTAGTAAATTTTACAAAAATCTACTCTTGACTTTATCTTAAAGATAATTGTATTGATTTCTTACATATCTCATCTCAATTTGACCTATTTATGGCCCTACAAAAAGAACTGAAGTATTATAATATAAAAGACATAATAGGAAAAATAAATAAATAAATAAATTATAACTATGCTTCATCTTTTTGGCGTGAATTTCTAAGATATTATTTATTAACATTTTACTTTAAAAAAAAATTATATAATTTGGTCTTTGTCCACTTTTTTATCCAATAGTTGTGTTGCCATACCACAACATTATATAGACTCTTTTTAAATCATTTGTTTGTAGATAATATAAATTCAAAAAAATGCCAAGGTTTTTAAAGATGAAACATAAAGTAACCAACACATGAAAGAACAATATAGTCTAGAATAAGAATTTTTTTAAAAAAAGAATTAAAATAAAATAATATTATATCATTTTATAAAATTATTTTTTTCAGGAAGTAGAATGGTTCTTTGATGAAAAGAAATGTCATAAATTAAAATGGTAGAAAAACTAGTTGAAAAACTAAAGTCCCATAGAATGATCCATTTGTTCATATTCCATATGAAGATGGATTAGATAAGTTGTATTAAAATTTGTACTAATAAAGTTCCTTCTGCCTATTCAATAACAAAAATATTAGAACACAAGATGGATATGCTCTTAAAATCAATGCAATAGGTTCATCCAGTACATGACAAAAAAATATAAACAAATAAATAAAAGTATTAATCCTTGTGGCATGAGCCTATGATGAAAGCATCACAAATTCAGCAGCTTGATTTCAAACCAATTCAGTTTGGAGGCTTGGGATTATCTTGGAGCATCAGATTTTTTTCAGAAGTTGCAACAACCAGATACCTCTCTGTATATGTTAGCTTACACTGTAATATGTTCCAAGAATATTGTAGTTGAAGACGTGAATACTGCCATCACTTTGTACCTAGACATAGTGGTACTTTACGTATAAACAAGATACATGGAGGTATATGGTTACATAGAGCATGTAGAATAGATTTTACATCCCCAATGTATGCTGGGGAAGATTGCAGTCATTAGCATTCAGCAACAATCACAAGTATGTAACCGGTTATTCGAAGATAAGAATTTATGCCCTGAGTTCTGGAATGTCAATGTCGATGCCGAATTGATGCAGGGAGGTAATTGGAAGGCAAGGGAAGAATTTCCTGAAAGCGATAATTCTCGCTTAATCAGAAATATTTCATTGATGAATTGCACGTTGCCCCAACATTGAAACGTCCCGTATCTACGGGATGACAGATTCTGTTGCGTGACAGTCAATCTCTTCAACTTCTTATACACATGAGTCCGACTCTTATAAGCTTTTCATTGGTGCCCGTTTAACAAGTGATGGATTAGTAGTGCCTTGATCGAACAACCTCAGCTGCGCTACGGTAACCAAATCACAAAGACATGATGTTAAGTTCACCATTACAATGACTCAAACCAACGTAATTATGCTTATTAAAGTTAAATTCTTGACTCGTCAATTAAGATGCTTCATCATTGAAGTCCACATCATCAACCTCCAACTCTGAAAGTACGGGAACGAATGTGCAGCAAAAGGCCTCGCGGTCTTTCAGGACTAAGGATGTGCCGTCTGGATTCCACTTGAGATCAGACACTACAAAATGATTAAGGGGAATGTTCACACAAGCAGCACCGCTTGGAGTCCACATATACAAATGAGGAGTTCCTGTGCAGATGGCAACGCGAGGATATATTGGATCCCAAGCGGCAGCCCGAATTGGATCCTTGTGAATGAGCAGCGCTGCGAGCTCTAGTCGAGCTATGTCCCAGATCCAGAGAGCAGTCGGCATGTTGTCATTGCGGGTGAAGACATAATGGCTGCCTGCACTCCATGCCATTAAACCTAGCCAACATAATGCCAGTCTTAGAGATGTCCTGAACCTGCTATTCTTGCTCTTTAAACTTAACTGAGAGCAAGAATGGTGATGGATGCACAAAGAAATGATAAAATAATATAACATGTGGCAGGATTGAAATTGGTCAAGGAAGAAAAGGAAACAATGCAACCAGGAGGAGCTTTACCTATGCCTTGTTTTGGGTTGGGTTTGTCAGGTGCAGGCTTCTGTGATGGAACCGACACCGGCACTTCGGCTACTGCGTAGCGTACTCTTGTCCGATTATCACCAGGAGAATCTGTCCACATGTCAAATCACCATCATATGAACATTGATGGAAAGAAGAAAAGGATTGCAGCTGCACAACACGATTCAAGGAAATTGCACTGAGATATTATCACTTGTGATATGTTCCTGCAAATAAGTTTACCAAATTAGTGAAGAGGAGTTGCAGATAATAAACATCAAGCTCCAACTTCATATCAACGAAAGAATGCCGGGAAGGAGGAAAAAATAATAAAAAGTCAACATCCATCACACAAAGTCGTACCTCCCACCCTCGGTTGATCACCAAATCCTGAAGACCCATTCATGAGCATAGATTGCATGTGCACGCTATAGGGTTCCTCAATTTCCTGCATGTCACGAAAGGAATAAGAAGAGCAGGTCCATGACTACGCATATGGTTTTGTAAAGGAAAGAGTGAAACTAATCAACTTTGAATAAGACACTCACCTTGAAGACAACAGCGTTGGAAGGTCCTTTCACAGCGAATGGATGACTGAACTCAACGACTGGCTTGAATGTGAGGAGATTTAATGCACGCACTACTTGATCGTAACTACCACACCCTAAAAACTGGCCGCATGGAGACCAAGATACTGTCTTCAACCCCAATCCATTGCCATACGCTGAGTACTTGAACAAACAACGCCCGTCGGGAGAATATATTAGCACCTGTACAGATAATAGGTTAGAACCCCATCTTGGCACCTCTCAGCCTTTCGGATGCACGGAAGCAACCCAATCAGCTCAAAGAAAATAATAGGCCAAAACAATGTACTGTGATCAATGAGTTGCAGTAATTGGAAGCCTACCACCGGAGAGATACAATGTAGCAAACATCTGCTTATGAATTTGAGTGAAATGGAATTTCGGGGAAAAATAAGCGAGGAGAAAATTCATTGCCAGTGGAATTAGGTTGTAAAGTAGAACCTTATATTCAAGAGGTGAATCCCACACAGCTATGTTGTTGCTGTCAGTTGGTGACCATTCCAAATCCGCCAAGTCGATGGTATCTGCTCCAAAAGTTCCCATTGATTCCCATCCTCGGCACGCCAACATGTTGATGTAATCCCTGCAGTCTCGCCTCGTTGCAATTGCGGCAAACATGCCATCCTTCGTGAAAGCAACAGCCCGGGAGCCATGTTTCGGCCACGGCACATGGACACAGGCTGTGCTAACCAATGACCATACCGTCAGTCGAAGCTGAAAGTCGGACGTGGTGAGGATGTGGCGACTGTCCGGGCTCCATCTGTTAATTGTACAATACAGAAGGAATCAACGTTTTGTTGGTTGCATCCGAAGTTCCATTTGACAATCAATCAGTGCCACAACTTGCATCAGCAGCTGACAGGGGACATTACATCATTTTTAATCCCCCATGAGTACTCCACGAGTGCACAGTTTGGTGAGGCAAGGTACTTGCCTTTGCAAAACCCTACACCTTGAACCCTAATCCAAAATGCGGAACAGCCGTGAAATCTACCTCGCATGAGTTATACCAGCTGCTCCATCGTCAATTTTGCAAGTCCATTCAGGCTGTGAGACAGACCAAGCTTGCACCATAGCTTTCTTGAACAAGCCACACAAGATGTATTCAGAGTCTGGGGCCCACTCCACATAGCTGATTTTGTCAAGGCAAGAGTATAACTGCACCACCTGAACAACATCCAGAACGAAGATAAGAAAACCTGCATGAAACTGCAAAATATCTTGTGTTCAATTAAGCATCGAACTAAACGCATACTGTAACTACACATGCCAGAAAATTGTACGCTTGTATCTACCAATGCCAGGTCTTTAGTCCTCTTTCTTTGCTGAAGTAATACTTTATCTACCTGTGAGTTTCGACTTGCAAGGTCGGAGCTGCAATAACACACCCCCCCCCCCCCCCTGACGGCTTCAACATAACCTCGTCATTGGACAACAGCAATCCTCAGACCTCTCCAGACCTCACCTTGAGAGAGGCCACATCTCGAATGACGAGTCGGTAGTCAACTGCTACGGCGAGGAACCTGGCATCGGGAGAGAAGAGGATATGCCCCGAATGCTTGTAAGTGTCGCTGAATTCCATGCCACTCTGCTCGCCTTTGACCTGCACACGTGCTTTTGGCAGCTTATACCGCGAGGTCCTCCGAGCATTTACCCAAACCTGCGAACCCCGCCGAGCACCCCCTTCGTATATCCAAGCTGCATCTTCACCCTCCTCGTCGCGTTGTGAGTCGTCACACGCTTCGGCGACTTCACCAATGCCGCAACTCCCCCTCTCACACCACATAAGACTCACAAAAGCGGAGCTTGCAGGAGCATGCCAGTTGCTGCACGACACACACACACAGATGTCCACCGACACCAACCCGGCGAAGCTCACAAACATGCAGGGAGAGGGGGTATTGGAATGCGAGGTGGGGCGCTTTCACATGGGAAAATCAAAAGAACCCTAATGCCAAGACTCAGCCCAGCTGCTCCGAGTCTTGGAAAGGGGGAAACTAAAGACAAACCTTTGAAATTTAAAACTGCTGGAGGGATCAAGGGCTCTTGACTTTAACAGGACATGCAGCATCTTCCAATACAATCATACAAGGTTATGTTCAAAAAAATATATATGTTTATTCATTTATTAAAAGATTTATAAATTTGACTCAAGTTTGATACTAGAACAATTTAATACGGATGCAAATTTATAAAAAAATAATGTATAAAGATAATAATTAACCAATGAGAAGTAATTTAAGCATTTTTTTGTTTAGAGACTAAATATCCTCTAAGATTACTTGCATGCAATAATACACATAACTTAGACAAAACATAAAATTAAGAGCATAGCTAAATTCAATAATGTTATATTTTGAATGATGTATTATTGTTGATTTCTTTAATTAATATAATTTTTTGACAATCTATATTTTGATAAAACAAGTTCTTTTTAGTATTTATATAATTAAAATAAATCTTTATAAATAATATATTTTATAGGCTTTAACATGCCCAATAAATAAGCATAATAATAGAGATAGTAGATAATTTTGCTTTATAACTTTAATCAATGATAGCTTCAATAAATGTCATTGCAAGTTTTAAATTCAATAAAATTGGTGAAATAAAAATCTTATGGTCTTTATTTATTTATTTATTTATTATTATGAATTTATTTTTTGACATCTTTACAAATATCAAAATTACAAGATTTTAAAATAAGATTTCAAGTCTAATATTAAAAAAAAAAAAAAAAAAAAAAAAAAAAATGATCTTATAGCTTTTTGGAACCTAAATAAAAATTTATATTTGGGTTCTTTTTTTTAAATACCAACATTGATTGTACTTAAGAATCTCCTTATTGAGCTTTGAATAATTATCATTGAAATTGCCAATAGCCTAAAAGAGGTCTTTGGTTCTAAATCAAAGAATGAATAAACTTCAAAGCCTTGTTTTTCCAATTTGTATTTGTTGACTATCTAAACCTTGTCATTTGCTATTGATTTTGCATGACCATGAACTATTGCATCAAGAATTGCAAAGATTTATCATTGAAAGGCAAAAACTCTACATTATATTTAAATAGCTAAAGTTAAAAAAGTAGAGACATCTAAACTTCCTAATATCAAAGGCAAATTAACCAAAATAAATCAACAAGGAACATTATTACTTCTAAAAGTATTGTGATGCCTAATACTAATGTTGACCTAGACACCAAAGGTCTTATTTCAATGAAGTACATCAAAAAAGAAGCCCAAGAAACTATTTGGCAATAATACATTTAAAAAATTGTAATAACTTCTTAAGACAGTATTAGCAAAATATTTCTATATCTTACAACATCAAACAACAATAAAATAAATTGACATTTCTATCAATAATCCACCTATTTTTCATCATAATAGAAAAGACTTAGCTAAGAATTTAAATAAAGTTTATCTATAACAAACTCTACATGTCATTAGAAATATTTTATGGCTATCATATTTCTAAAACACTTTACAAATAAAGTATCTAAAGACCATGGTAGAATCTTAAAGTAATATTTAAAGATAAGCAACAATATCAAAGTGGTCAATCTATAACTAGATCCAATTTAAGAAGAAGGTAGAATGTACTTCTCAAAAGATCAAAACAAGGTTAATAATGATCATTCCTCTCAATTATTATAAAAAAGCTTTCTTGTTAATCCAAATTCCATTTTTTTCTTTGTTTTGCCTTTCATATTCTATTCTGTTTAGTTCTATTTAGTTTTGTTCTAATCTATAATGTCCTATATTGTAATGAGATTTATATTGCTATAGATTAAAAGAGTCTTAGATCATAGAGATAATCTAGTCTTATTTTATTGATATTAGAGTGAGTCTTAGTGTGTTCTTTGGTAGTATATTAATAGCCATTGTCTAGTTAGAGGTCATTTATTGTCATCACATCAAATATTGTTTTACGGCTACCACAAGCTACTTTTAAGAAGTCAACTGGAAGGAGAGAAGCCATTGTAGTAGCAAAGTTGAGTAAGGAAATTATAGCATGGGAAATATGGCAAAGCAATCTTAGATAGAGACTTAGATACAACACCTCCTAGGCTAAATAGCTACTTTGCAAGGACAAATAGAAGCCTCTCGGACAAGAAAGTTGACATCTGCTAGGTTGAAATTATTTAAGCCTAATACATACTCTAGAACTTCAAGGCAAGAAGATATATGCCAATGGCTCTTCAACACGTAATGATACTTCTATTTATCTTGGAGAAACACTACTAAAGGAATTGTATATGCTGCTAGCCATTTAACAGATGCGATAGCCATTTGGTAGCAACTTTTAGTTCAAAGCTATAAAGTTCAAGGTAGATTTTGTGACTAGAAGGAATTTGAGGAAGAGTTTATGAGTCAATTTTGATCCATCAATGTGGAGAAGATAGCATGCAATCAGGTGACTAATCTTATACAATCCAAATCAATGCAAGATTATGTCTTCCAATTTAAGTTCATATGTCTCCAAATTGGCAATATCTCAAAGGCAGAGATGATGGATTGATTTATACAAGGATTGAAATCTAAGCTCCAACAAGAAGTAAAATTAAAGGATCCTCAAATATTTGAGGAGGCAATTAAAATTACGAAGAAGATTGATGCTATAGATTTCAAAAATCGTAGAGCACAACCTATAGCACGAAATTCTATGCCATTATTCAATACTATGGCACAACAACGAACATTGATAAAGATTGATACCTTGCAAGGATCACTGAGACCACATAGACAATAAATATTGGTGTAGAGGGGATTATGTTTCTACTATTGGGAGCCAAGCCACTAAATCAGAGGTTGTCCAAAACGTCAAAATTCAAGCATTAACAAATCAAGGCAAATTCACAAACTTGAGACTTATTATATTAATAATGAAATGGAGTAAGGAAACAGAGCTTCTCAGTAAAAGCACTAAAGGACAATATTGGAAATAGCTATTGTTTCTTAGAAACAAACGACATGGCCTCAAAAAACTATCAAAAGGATCGATTGGTATGTCTAATAAGTCTATTAAGATGACAACCATATTAAGTGCTTGTGGATTGTGGCTCCACAAAAAATTACCTCTTGATTGAGATTATAGACTGATTTGGGATTAAAACCAAGGTAATCAAAGGATGGAATAAATACCTAATAGATGATCAAGAGAATATATTGAATGAGACATGTAAAGAAGAAATGTTGAAGTTGAATGATACATATTTCTTAAAAAAGAAATTTAAGATAATAAAGCTTAGATATGATATTATCTTTGCTATACCATGGCTAGAGATAGAAAATAAGAAAATTTATTAGCTAGCAAGGATGATCTCTTTTAAAGATAATAGAAGCAAAGTGATTCTTTAAACCTCTACATCAAGTGAGGTAGAAAAATAATCTACGGCTAAGAGCTTACTTGTAGGAATGATCTTTGTGAAGAAGTAAATATAATATAAAAAACTAGTATATATGATAGTTCCAAATCTTGTCTTAATGGTGGAAAAGAGAACCAAAAGAATAGAACGGTGTCATATTGTAACACGACTATATAGTGAAAGATGATAACATAGATCTTATTATAGAAGAGCCAAGTTAAAAAAAAAAATAGAAAAATATGGATAAAAGATAGGAAGGTAGTAAAACATTTAGTAGCAATGCTGCCTTTTTTGAATTTTTTTGTACTTTTTTTTTACTTAATTCTAAAGAAATGTGCAGAATTTGAGTTAAGATCGACGATTTATACATTAGTTATTGAGGTTTAAATATATTATAGGAATTACTATAGTTTGATTTAGGATTTGGTTAAAGTTTGGTTTAGGATTTAGGATTTAGGATTTAGGATTTGGTAAGGATTTGATTTAGGCTTTAATATTTGGATTAGGATTTGGTTTAGGATTTAGGATTTGTATTAGGATTTGGTTTAGGGTTTGGTTAGGGTTTGATTTAGGATTTAGTTGGGATTTGGTTTAAGATTTGTTTAGGATTTGATTTAGGAATTGATTAGGGTTTTATTTAGAATTTGGATTAGAGTTTGATTTAGGATTTAGGATTAGGATTAGGATTTGGTTAGGGTTTGATTTAAGGTTTAGGATTTGGTTTAGGATTTGGTTAGGGTTTGATTAGGATTTGATTTAGTATTTGATTTGAATTTGGTTTAAGGTTTATTTAGGATTTGATTTAGGGTTTAGGATTTTATTAGGATTTAAGATTCAGTTAGTTTTGGCCTAAAGTTTGAATGAAGTTCAATAGGATTTTAACTAGAATTAAATTAAAATTGAATTGAGATGTATTTGAGTGATATTTGTGATCCTTCTAATATTTCTTTAAGAATTCTTATTGTTTGTTTGAAATTTCTTTTAGTTTTTTTTTAATTTGATTAAGCTTGTTTAGCATTATTATAGTCTAATTAGAGCATTATTAGTATTCTATTAAAATTAAGATTTTGTTATTGTAATTTCTAATCTTCCTTCTACAGCCAGGTGCTCGGAGCATTTTCAAGCAAGACTTCACGTATTACGACATATTTGGTGAACCCGATGTGAAACGCTTGAGGTAGAAGGAATTTAGTTTTCTTGGATTATTTGAATTTTGGAGCAGAAAGACAAGAAAGTTGGAAGAAATACTTTGAGTGATATGTGAATTCGAACTTTTGGATTCTTGGAGCTTTGGAGACTATTTTAAAATATAATAGTAATATTTGGAATATCATGGAGTATTATAAGGCTTTATAGATATGTTGGAGCATTTTGAAGTAACATAAAGTATTTATTGGAGCATTTCAAAGAACATTTTTGATCATTGTAGAACAAAATGGAAGATTTGTCATGAAGGTTTTTGGATATGTCGAATATTATGGATGGATCAAATATTAGTGAATTTTTTAAGGCTTTCTATATATTCATGGAGGAGCAACAAAGAATGCAAGCAATTGAAAAAGATATCACAAAGGCATTACAAGGAGTCATCAATA